CAAGGCAGGAGAGACCTTTGCTTCTGGGACAGCGATCAGTCTCAACCCCACACAGATGAGCAGAGTCCTGGAGAAAAGCAGGTTCTACTGGAACAGCAGAGACTGGATACCTTCGCTGAGTACCAGGCCACCTGGAACAAGCAGAAAAAGCCTCCTGATCCCAAAACACAAGGGCGATGCCTCTCAGCTGAGAACATTCTAGATGCTACTGCAGAAGAGAAAGGTCTTTGCATTCATAAGAAATCCAGATCTTCACCTTCTGCAGACTTCTACACACAGGTGAGCAAGATTATGTTTGGTGTGATGTTTCAGAAACATGGCATCAGGTCAGGATGAGAAAGGCCTGCAGAGCTTTAGAGACATATCCCAATGTAGAAACCAAACTACTGCTGCACTCATCAACGGTTGATTTGAATTGATTCAGATATTTCATCTGTTCCGTTCTGCTTTGAAATGCTAAACATAACTTTTCTCTTTCAGAAGATTTCCTCTCATTGGAGAGATTGTCAACACAGGAGAGCAGTTTGGTGGCCAGGTGAGGTTCCCTGCCCGATACTCACAATCTGCAGAACATTTAACCAAGTCATTGCTTTCAAACGTTTCAGAGAATGTTTCGGGTTTGTTCACCAATTTTCTCTAGCCATCAAAAAGTCACGGATGGTTACGGTACAAAGATGTTCCCTGAACACCAGCAGGCTGACCTGCTCCAACAGTGATGCAGTGATTCTTGCAAAAGGGGCCACAACCTGATTTCTAGAATGTCCTTTCTGTTGATCGGATGGAAGACATTGATTGTCGTGTCTTTCTGAGACACTAGAATGTGGGTTTTCATTCTTTAAAAGCTAGAATCATCAAAATTACAAACCATAAAGGATTGAAATACTTTGCACATGTGTGAGGAATCTAAAGGACTTTTACATTCTGGAAGGAGTCACAAAAACCTTTTCACAACATCAACATGTTGTAGACGGACCTCGAAGGTTGAGGCCTCCCTGCTTTTGGTCAAGAGTTCAGGAATCTTCATCGTCTGTTTATGATGGACGGGTGGAACGGAAGTTGGGCCGGTTCTGTCTGTGATGGTGAAGAAAGAGATGAACCATAAAGCAAAGTGTTTGGTTTACTAGTTTGTCTCTGGATCACAACCAGAAGAAAATCTCAGATATAAGTTGGGCTTGGGTTAGACATTTTGTTTATGTTGGAAGGCGGATGTTTTCCCTTCCGGTTCTGATGAGGTGTTCATTTCGACCATTAGAGAGATGGCAGGGTCGCTGGACCGCGGCCCAGGACCCAGAACCGCTGGGTTTTTCACAGGCGCTGCGACCACAGAACCAAACCCAACCTGGCCGGTTCCTCCCTGTCTTCCGGACCGCCGCCCAGTCATTTAGGACCAGAACCCACATCCTCCTCCTGGGAACTCCCCGTCTGAGGCCAGGCGGACCGGACCGGTTCTGCTGGTGCCGCCCAGCCCACCTGCCCTCTCCAGCCGGACGGGACCCGGTCTGCCTCGCCTCGGTTGGCTGCTGTCGAACCGCAGCTGAGGTTCATCCTCCTGTCCCAGAGCAGCTTGAGTCGTTTAAATCATGAAGAAATGAAACATTCATTCATTTAACTCAAGAATACATTAAGCCTTTAACTTTGTCATATTTGCAGAAACAGCTGCTCCCCAACATCATCCAGAAAATCATTTAATTACATTAATAATTGAAACTTATGAAATAACTTATTGCTGATACAGAAATGTCATATTTAGTATTTCTTCACAAACTGACCTTAGTAAAGGAAAGTTGAGAGGAAGGAAAAACGTATGTCAATGGGGATAACTGCACTCAGACAAGGTTCTAGTTTAACCGTATTTCAATAATTCATTTGTCTCAGAATAAATATCTGAACTGTAAATAAATGAACTACAATCCAGATACATGAATAAAGAAAACGTAATCAGTACCAGATGATGAAGGTTTGACGCTTTCTGCTGTCGGCAGGTCAGAATCAGAACCACAGAACCCAGCAGCGATGCAGGAGAACGGCCCGGTGAGAACGGTTCCGGTTCCGGAACGTCCACGGCGAAGGCGGCACGGCCGAGTCCGGCAGCCCGGCATCTCCGTTCAGCACCTGCAATTGGCAGGAACCAGAACAAGAACACGGCCAGGAACCCGACAGAGCCCGGACCCTGGAGGAGGACGCAAAGAGAGACGAGCTGGCGAAGGACATCATGGGCAGGGACAAGCCTCTGCTGGACATCCTGGACCACAGCAGCAGGAGGACCACCATGGACCTGACGGAGGGTGTGTTTGCCTTGACCCGGCCCTGGAGGCGATCCAGCCGCGCAAGAGGCCATCAGCTGGATCCAGGCTGCCCGGCACCAGCAGGTCCAAACCACCAGCTATTCCTAAAATATCACCCTTGAACCGTTTAGTCGCACGAGTTCCTAAAAATGTTAGGGTGCTTCTCAGAAAAGGGTCCAGTCCTCCACATCTCTGCTCCAACACCTGGACCAGGTGAAACGCTCGTCACCAGAGCCGGCTGAACGCTGCTGGAGCAGAGATGCAGCTGCAAGTACCAGCAGGGTTGAGGACTGGACTGCTTTAATAGAAGCACTAAACCAGGACTGGGCCATTCCAAGCTCCGAGGGTCTCCTGCAACTTTTAGATGCGTCTCTACTTCAACACACCTGAGTCAAATGATGATTAGCAGAACTTTGACTGCAAAGGGTTAAGGTTAGGAGGTGATGCAGCTGTTGGACCAGGGAGACATCTCAGAGTTGCAGGACAGCGGCCCTCCAAGACCAGGATTGCCAATATCAGTTTGGCGTTGGTCTGCCATCTGGTGGAGAACATCTGGAATAGCAACTACATTTCAGGAACTGTTGAGAAATGACTGTGGAATAGTAAATCTAAATAAGAAGGGTTGTTTCAATGGTTTCTATGTAATATTGAGCTTAATTCACTTTAACTCAAAGATATTTGGTCATTAAGTGATAACTTAGAGGAGAGAATGGAAGTCTTGATTGACATGATGACAACCTGTGGGACTTCCTCAGGAGAGAAGAGGAGGACGTCCCTGTCTCCACCTCTCTGGTCCCCAGCTCCTCCTACTACAACACATCGGCTCCCAAAGCTGAGCTGCTCATCAAGATGAAAGACATGCAGGAGCAGCTGGACCTGCAGGACTCCGAGGACGAGCTGGACGTCGATCTGGCCGGTAAAAAGGTAAAACCTGTCCAATCACGCCCGATGCGCCGCAGAGCAGACAAGTTGTTTGACCGTATCCATCGGTTTTCAGCAAAAGCTGATGTCCAGCCTGTCCAGGAAGCTGGCGGTGCTGCGGGAGGCGCGGCAGAGCCTGGAGGAAGACGTGGAGGACAATGAGGCACTGGGCCGGCAGGTGGACGCCACCGTCCGGCGCCTCTGCCGGCCCAACCAGATCGACCGGTTCCGCATGTTTGTGGGTGACCTGGAGAAGGTGGTGAGCCTCCTGCTGTCACTGTCGGGACGCCTCGCCCGGGTGGAGAACGCCCTCAACAGCCTGGAGGACGGAACGCCGCCGAGGAGAAGGTGGACAAACTGAGGCAACGGGCCTTAGCTGCAATTAGGCTTTAGCTGCCAGGAGCCTTAGCTTTACCAGAACGTCTTGTTAACGCGCCTCCTTCCTCCTCCAGAGAACGCTGAGCGACAAGCGGAAGCTGCTGATGAGGCAGCATGAAGACGCCAAGGAGCTGAAGGAGAACCTGGACCGCAGAGAGCGGCTGGTGTTGGCCATCATGGAGGCTCAGCTGGACGCCGAGAACCTGGACGACTACCGCCACTTTGTCAAGATGAAGTCTGCGCTCATCATCGAGCAGCGGAAGCTGGACGACAAAATCAAGCTGGGCGAAGAGCAGCTCAAGTGCCTGACGGAGAGCCTGCCGTCAGAGCAGAGGTCAACGTCGGACCAGAGGTCAACGTCGGACCAGAGGTCAATGTCGGACCAGAGGTCAATGTCGGAGCAGAGGTCAACGTCGGAGCAGAGGTCAATGTTGGAGCAGAGGTCAATGTCAGAGCAGAGGTCAATGTCGGACCAGAGGTCAATGTCAGAGCAGAGGTCAATGTCGGAGCAGAGGTCAATGTCGGACCAGAGGTCAATGTCAGAGCAGAGGTCAATGTCGGACCAGAGGTCAACGTGGGACCAGAGGTCAACGTCGGACCAGAGGTCAACGTCGGACCAGAGGTCAATGTCAGAGCAGAGGTCAATGTCAGAGCAGAGGTCAATGTCAGAGCAGAGGTCAACGTCAGAGCAGAGGTCGCCGTCGGACCAGAGGTCAATGTTGGAGCAGAGGTCAATGTCAGAGCAGAGGTCAATGTCAGAGCAGAGGTCAATGTTGGACCAGAGGTCAACGTCAGAGCAGAGGTCGCCGTCGGACCAGAGGTCAATGTCAGAGCAGAGGTCAAGGTCGGAGCAGAGGTCAATGTCAGAGCAGAGGTCGCCCCTCACACTGTGACCATGAGGTTTTCCAACAGTGGAAAACCTCATGGTGAGGAAATGTTTCTGTTTCCTCTCCAGGCGATTCCTTCGTCGGCTTCAAAGACTCAGAGAGAAACTCTGCTTTTAACCGAGTGTTTCTGCTGAAATCCTGATTTTTCTCCAGCTGATTTTAGTATTTCAATCAGATTTCCTAATAATTTATTGTAGTTTTTGTGTGATTTATTGTCATGGTTTGTGTTTAAGCTGAACAGAGAAATGCATTTGGAAAGTCTCTTATTTTGGAAGGAAGCTGAATTTCCTGGACGCGAATCCCAAACTGAAGGAGCTTCAACACTCATAAGAATAGAATCTGAGTCCCGGCTGCAGGATCCCATCAGACCGTCAGTTCCCCAAACGACAGTGTTTCTCACAGTGAAAAACTGGTCAGGTCCAGTTTTAAGTCAAAAATCTGAAAAGTGTGGTGTGCATTTGTGTTTACCTCTAAATAAACGCACGGTTTAATAAAACTGCAAAGTCGTTTTTTCTTAAATATTTTATTGAAAAAAAGAGAAACGGCTCACTTCCAGACTTTCAAACCATCTGCATCGCGGTTCCCCTGATGATGATGAGGATGAAGGGGGCGGAGCCGTTTCCAACACCACCTGGGAGAAGCGAGTGGCAGTGGAGAGAGAGGGTCTCCCAGACCACACAGCCAGCCTCTTCATCCTCTCAAAAGAAGCATTTCCATCATCAGAGCTTAAAACGACAAGCTCAAATAGAAAATCTGATTCCAGAAGCTGGAACTGAAGAGACGTAGCATTCCGGCGCGCTAACGCTAAAGATGAAACATGATCCGAGTTTAAATCAGTAATTTCACTGAAAAATCCACCCGCAGAAACCGGTCAGAGCGAGACCTCTCGGTCAGAGACGGTCGCTCGAAAACCACCAGCTCCCCCTAGTGGCCACTGAGCAAACTGCAGCAGCTTCTGTCAGATTAAATCCGGTTTCCTCCCAGAAACAGATCAGATGATTTTTACTTCACTAAAATCCAAATCAGAAAAAAAGGATAAAATCTAAATGTGGTCATCAAATTCTCTTCAGTTTGATTATTTCTAGAACGTTTGGAGACTTTAAACCTTTCAGAAGCAAAAACGTTCGTCTGCTTCAGGCCAGAAAAACATTTTCACCGTTTTACAACAAACATGGATTAAAAGCAGAACCTGAAATCATCAGCAGTAAAATCTAACGTCCAGCCCTGGAAGCCCGATCGGATCCAGATGGTTTGAAACGGAACCAAAATGACATCCATACAAAATAAAATAGAAAATCAGCAAAAAGAGAAAACTGGAAATTTAATGGGCCCAAAGTCCGCCGGTCTGTTCTTGATAAACCTCGATGACGTCTTCATCTTCCATCCCCAGCTGTAGGGGACAGATGGAGAGACAGAGACAGGGTTAATGTTGGACCTGGAAAAACCTGGAAGGACCTGGAAAAACCTGGGAGAGCCTGGAAAAACCTGGGAGGACCCGAACCATGTGCAGAGAGACCTGGACCTGGATGGACTGACCTGAACTCACCTGGACCAGGTCATTCCAGGTCATTCCAGGTCATTCCAGGTCATTCCAGGTTATTCCACAGAGACTGGTTACCTCTTTGGGAGTCTGGTTGTCTGCGATTCTCTGGCCCTCGAACAGAAACCGTAACGTGCTCGCTGGCACGCCCTGGGATGGGAAAACATGAGGGGTCAGAGGTCGGGAGGGGTCAGAGGTCAGGAGGGGTCAGAGGTCATACCTGTCTCTGGCTGTAGGACTCTTTCAGCTTCTTTAGATGCGTCGTCATTTTGACCTTGAAGTGGATTTCGCTGCTGTCCTGTGCGGAGAAACGATGCAGCTTTTTCAGAGATAGAAATCTGCTGAAGCTTCGGAGAATGACGGCAGCGACGGCTTCAACCACAGAAGAAGAAACGCGACGGCTTCAACCACAGAAGAAGAAACGCGGCTGCAGGCTCATTTGATGACGTTTAAAATCCAGCAGGAATGAATGTTTTATCAAGTTATTGTCCTGCTGAATCGGACTGGTCCCGATCTGGTTGGGACTGAAATGTGGCAGCATCAGGGGAAAATGCAGTTTGATTTAGTATCAAACTTCAGATCCATTTTAGGTTCTGAACTGCTAATCCAGCCTGAAGCAGTTCTGCAGAAACTGATTGGATCGGCGCCAATAGCTCGGCTCTGAACATCGGCAGAGATTCATCATTGGACAGTTTAGGGGAAAAAAGTCCTGATTTTTTTCCTTTGAGTGATTTCCAAACATCAAAAGTTAGAAGGATAATTAATCAAACTCAGCTGTGCTGTGAGAAATGAGGCAGATCATTTAAAATGAAGAAATTCAATGCAACTCTACTGGCTAATAAAGTAAGTGAACTGATTATACAAATCTGATCTGCTCTTCAGAGCATTGAAACGATTCAGTCGGCTTCAGCTGCTCAACGGTAAAACGGGCCGGCTGAACCTCAGAACCAACGCCGAATGTTTCGGATCGGGAAATATTCACAGAACCAAGATATCAGGATAAACAAACTGAATTCAAAGCAGTCGACCCGCGGTTGATAATGGATCAGAACATCTCCGTGTTGTAACCCAAAATAATCTGGTTTCATCCAGATTAACACTCCAGGAAAATCCAGAGTCCACAACAAAAACACACAAGTCAAATAACTTGAGAACTGAATTCCAGCAGTTAGTTTAAAAAGGGCAGAATGAAAATAACAGAGCTGAACTTAAGGCCGAATAAAAGACCATTTCAAATCATTGAACTAAAATGTATCACAATTAAATCAGAGACTATGTGAGAAACTTCACAAAATCAGCATTTATTGAGGTTTTGGTCTGATTTTTTGACTTCTTTTCCATCTTAAACCTAAAGTAGCATAAAGTCAGATGATAACTGTCTGCTATTTTTGTAATGTGGATGAAGCAGGAGGCACTAGCTGGTGATCCAACACTCATTTGCTCGCATCAATTCATTTTATTCATGAGAATAAAAGAAGCAGTGTCCTGACCTGGCCGATGACTTTTAGTTTGATGTACTCTCCATCCTTCTTGTCGCCCCCATCTTGACCGGAAGGTTTTGTCTCCTGGAGCAAAACAAACGACAGAAGCCGAACAGAGACATGTCAGCGAGGCCTGGACGTTTCCGAACCTCACACTCTGCCCGCCTCGGGCTTTTGGACCGTCGCTGTTTCCGAGCACAATTTATTTTCGAACTGAAACCAAACAGAAGCCCAAACTGTTGAGTTTCGGGCCTGAAGCTACATCAGTTAGCCGTTAGCCCGTTAGATAACCAGATCCCATGAACAAAAACACGCATTAAAACACGCGTTTCCGGCGGCCGCGCGGAGGAAACCCAACACGAATCCCGACCGACCACAGCTCACCGTGTCCGACATGTTGGTCTCTCCTCTGTCCCGGTAAACGTCCCGACAGTAGATTAGCGCTAGCTCCCTAACGGCTATGTTGTGAGAATTCTGCAGCAGCCGGAAATGACGCAGGGTGTGTTTTCAAAATAAAAACGGCATCCTACCAACCGGAAAAGCTGAAATTCAGTCAAAGTAAAAACGTTTTCGGGAGAAAAAGTTTTGTTTTGCACCTTTGCCATCCGCCAATAAGAAACGAAAGAAGAATAACGTTTTGTTTTATTTTGTCTTTTGTCCAAATCTTATTTTATACATAAGCTTTAGAATAATGATTTCATGTAACATCTTTAAATTTTGTAAGGACTTTAACTGCTTTAAAACTTGTTTTTCAGAAGATTTTTAGAGGGACATAGAGGCTGTGAACATATTTTATATTTATAAATAAACTGGATCACACTCTTCTCATATAAAAAGCTACATGTTTTTTCTAAAGAATAAAACTTTATGAAGTTTGTTTGAGCCTAACAGCATTTAAGATCCATGGAATCGGGGAAATGGGTCCAGGTTTAATTGGCTCTGCTTGGATCATTTATAACATGTTTTCATGAACAGACCAAAACTCCAAATATCAAGCTTGTTGTAGCTGATCTCAACTGTGTTAATCATTTAATCTTCTGTAATTTAACTATTCTTAACCCGTCAGATCAAATTGAAGATTTAAATTTTGCACAAATAAACATTTGTATGTTACATCTCTGATCTGTATTAAATCATTTATGGGAGGCTCCTGGTGATTGGGGGGCCCAGAACAGCATGGGCAGATTTTATTTTATTTAACATTTATTTTTGCTTTAAATGTCAAACTCTGAAGTTGAAAAAGAAAACAAATGGCGCTTTATAAGCTTCGAGCTTAATAAAATAAAAGTGAACAAGCAGTCGTCCTTTCTTTCGTCATCTGACGTCACTTCTGACTCGTGTTTTTGTTGGACTCATCCAATGAGGTGAGGGGTTAAAATCTATCAAAGGCACTAAAATAAAAACAGCCCCTTCCGGTGGTTTGTCTTCAAAATAAAACAAAACTATGAAAATGCTTTGAAAACTCGACATCGTGCTTTTATGGTTTTCAAGTGAAGCAGGAGACTTCCGGTTAGTGCTGCTCGCTGGACGCCATCTTGACTCCTCTGTGGGTCAACAGCCAGCGAAGCTACCATCAACCGGGTCTGCGGCGCCACAAAATGAAAGCTGTGGATTAATTTCTGCCCGCTTTCTGTCTCTAACCCTCGGGGACATTGAGGCGGACAGAGACCTGCTCGGTCTCCCCACCTCCGGAGGGACTCTGCGGGACAAACCGCCCGTTATCGGGCCTCGTCGTCGTGGCCCAGCAGGACTCGAGTGAAGTTGGGAGCCAAACTTCTGCTTCCTCCAGCCGCTGTCCGCAGGGCCCGGGGCTCCTGTCACCGGCCCTGTGGATGCGGAAGTGAGTGGGGATTAAATCGGCCCGCAGGTGAGACGGGACTTCCGGCGGAACTGGCTTCGAGTCTTGATTTGGTTCCGTCTCGGTTCCGTTGCAGCCCAGATTAGCCTGGTTGGATCTGTGGCTAGTCCCAAAGTTTAGCATCAGCTTAGCCTGACAGCTCGCTGTCCGCTCCTGCTCACAGCTTCACCCTGAGTGACAGGGTGAAGAAATTCACCATTTCATCTGACAGTCTGTAATGGGCCGGTGCTTCCAGACGCAGTGAGAAACTCATCCTTTACGTGCATCATGATGCAGTCCGCCATGTACAGCCTGCTAGCAACAGTTGTTGCTGTTAGCTTCCGGGGCTGCAGTCCAATTATAGCTGGGTCATAATTAATCAGCTCCATATTTGGGCATGTCCTGATCTCATTCCGTTTATTACAGTCACTTCTGACGCCTTTGTTTCCCTTGTTTCAGAAAAAAACATAATAAACACCATTAAGTTTAATTTACTAAAGTACCAGTGGAGCTGAATGAATGACCCAGTGCCATTCTGACAGACAGAACCTACAGAACCTGTGGTTCGGATGAAATATCTACTGAGGATCTGATTATGATGCTTTGGTTTCAGACATGTTTGCATTGAAGGAGATCATGTGTGATGTCAGTGTTTGTGTTTTTTATGCCTTTGGTCGTGTGAATCGTGGAAAACAGTTTCATAACCGAGGAGAACACATATCTTATTGTTTCTGAGTATTGGTTTCCGTCACTGAATGTGACCTGAGGTCGTCTCCTTTGGGTGAATTATCGCCTGCATCATCAGTCATCCGATGAGCGCTAACCGTTTTTATCCGGTTTTGTCAAGCCTATAATGCCAAAAAGATCAACTTTTTGAACCTGATAAGTTGTGACTGGTTGAGTCCTAAGCCTCTGAAATCAGGTGAGATATTTGGGAAATGACAGAAGAGTTGAGCGCCATTGATTGACGTCTGCTATGGCTGCCAGTTTGTACAAGTTATGTAACTAAATAACTAAATGTTTCTGCCGGTCATCCGAGTCCAGCTGCAGGAGAATTTCGGCGCAGAGTTTCGGTCACATCCTGTGGCGTCGCGCGTCCACCGGGTTTTACCAAGACTTTGACCAAGTCTGGAATAAAGACTGATAGATTTCAGAATGATCTTCAGTGTTTGTGTTACTAGAGCTGCAGCTCTCTGGTCGGCCTGATCAATCAAACTGAAGGTCATGGTTGGTGACCCCAACCGCTCAGAGACCACTGACTCCCCAACTTAGAAGATTAATGCAAAGTCAGCTTTGAGTGTTGTGTTCAAGCACATTTACGGAAAGCTTAGTGGAAGGAAAAGCTGTGGGAAAGCAGAATAACTGCAGCCTTGAGGAGAGTTTAGAGGTTCAGATATGAGCACGACCACCAGGCTGGACCTGAACCAGCAACAGGTCGGGGAGGGGTGGGACTCTAAACAAAGGTCGGGGTGAGGACCCATGTTAAAGTCCAGAGTCGGGGGATGATCTGGGTCATCAGATCAGCTGCTGGTTCTGCTCCACTGGGTTTTTAGTGAGCCTAGACAAGGCAGACCAGACAGAACATTCTGGGTCCACATATTCAGAACCAGAACATTTGGGGTCTCTTGTAGATTGTTCTCTGGTCTCTATCCTGAAAAGCAGTTCACTGATGTGATTCACTGACCCGGTGCGTGATCTGCTGCTGCAGGACAAGGGAGTCCCTTTGATGGGAGAGTCCTCCGTCCGAGCCTGCTGGGTCAGTCGCCGCACCATGATGGGTAAGTCTGCCGCTCAGCAATGAGCAGCGTCCGGTCGGTGGGTTCTGCTGCGCTCATGACCCCGTTTGACCTCCAGATGAGCAGGAGGCCCTGAACTCCATCATGCAGGACTTGGCCGAGCTGCACCGCTCCAGCCGTCCTGCGGCCTTCCTGTCGGACTTGGGGAAACCCAAAGCCTCGTCACCCAAGAACCAGGTAGCGTCGTCGGTGGGAGCGGGAGGCGGCGGCCGGGCCGGAAGCTCACGACCTCTGCTTTGTTTCCACAGAACGACGTGAGGGTCAAGTTCGAGTTCAAAGGAGAGAAGAGGTGAGCTTTCACATCCTGTTGCATCATCCTGACCTTACTGACCTCTGTCCCTCTCCGCAGGATCCTGCAGTTCCCTCGGCCGCTGAAGCTGGAGGACCTGCAGGCCAAAGCCAGGGTGGCCTTTGGTCAGAGCTTAGACCTCCACTACACCAACAACGAGGTACGGTGAGAGCCGAGCGGCGGCGGGCGGTTTGGCGCGCTCGCTAAGCTGTTCTTGTCGATGCTGCAGCTGGTGATCCCGCTGACGACCCAGGACGACCTGGACAAGGCGGTGGAGCTGCTGGACCGCAGCGTTCACATGAAGAGCTTGAAGATCCTGCTGGTGCTGCAGGTAGACCCTCCCTCAGTCGGCCTGGACGTCCAATCAGTCATGATGTTCCAGACGTTCACCGTCTCTGTGCAGCTACTACATAGCAGCTCCTGAAAATCTTTTCCAACTATTTTAGTCTGGATTTCTCCTGGAAAAGACTCCAGGCTCCCATTTAACGCAGAAACACTGCAAGACTCGCTGAATCCAAAGTGCCATATCAAATGTTTGATTACAAAACTCTGATTCTGGGATGGACTGTAGAAAGCAGCTTCAGGTGTTTTTGTTCCTCCAGAAGGCTTCGTCCAACATGGACCTCCTGCCGTCCCACCAGGAGCTGGACAACACGGGTTTCCGGGCCGGTGAGTAATGCCCCGGCTTCCTGTGGCCCCTGGGCTCCAGGTCTCCGTTGGACGTGACCTTTTGTCCTCTCCAGGCTCCCATTCCACAGACCGCAGCTCACCTCCTCCGGGGTACATTCCCGACGCGCTCCAGCAGGTGGCGAGGAACGGCTCCTTCACCAGCATCAACAGCGAGGGGGAATTCATCCCAGAGAGCATGGACCAGGTGCCCAAACTGGGCTTCATGTCTTTACTAGCAGACCTACAGAAGCTCCTTCAGGTCGTACGGCCAGTTTGGGTCAACCCTAAAGATGTGCTTCTGTCCTCCAGATGTTGGACCCGTTGTCGATGAGCAGTCCGGAGAACTCTGCGTCTGGAAGCTGTCCGTCATTGGACAGCCCGCTGGACAGGTCAGAACCTGGTTGCTATAGCGCTGACTTAAAGCTTGGAGCTTCAGGATGAATGGGGTTGTTTTTCTTTGTTCTGCCAGCGATTACCCCAAGTCCAGGATGCCTCGAGCGCAGAGTTACCCCGACAACCACCAGGACTTTCCAGGTGAATCAGGCGCGTCGGGTTCAGTTGAAGGTCTGCTCACTCCTGCGTCCTCTGTGACCTCAGCAGCGACGCACTTTGACCTCAGCAGTTGGAAAATATTCTCAGTACTTTGCAGCAGAAACCACCAGTTTGTGATGCAACACAGAAAAACTCAGAAAGTTAAATTTATCTCAGCCATTAAGCCACAAAACAATCGGAGCCTCAGCTGGCAGATTGCTGCCACCTGGTGGCAGTAGCAGCACATTACAGTGATGCTTCATATAAAATAATAATCCAGTAAAAGAGATAAATATGAAAAATACGTAAGTGCTGATGAAAACAAATACGATATCAATAAAAACAATGGTGACTAAAAAAACACATAAACAGTGTTTATCATCCTCATGTACTCGCTGCTAAATGTGCTAACGGTGGAGAAACAACTTTACCAGTTAGAGACACTAACTAGCCTTAGCATTCACAGCAGGATCTGCTATGAGAAGCGTAAGAGGGAGAGGGGTGAGCAGCACCATACACATGGTGACTGACGACGCTAACAGACGCTCCCTGACTCTGATTGGTTGCTAGTTAACACCAGAAGGCAGAGGAGATGGATTTTTAACAGATTGTCACAACACAAGAGTTTCAATATGTAAAAAAAATATTTTCTCAAAGCTCCCTGCAGCTAATTATTGATAAATTGATTTGTTTTCACTCCAAATTATAGTAACAATAGTTTCACTTCATTTTTATTTGAGGTCAGCAAATCCTGTAATCTTTTGAAAAATCTAAATGTCATCAACAAATAATGTGAATGTTTGTTACCAGGTTGGTGGTTAGGATGAGGCTCCTGACCTTTGACCCCCTCTGTTTCTGCAGAGTATGACCTCCCTGTGTTTGAGAAGTCAGGCAAAGGCGGGACATACCCACGGCGGTACGGCGTTCCTTTTGGCCTGCAGGACTACAGTGACGGTGAGTCGGGTTGCAGGGGTCCAGGGCTCTGGGTCCGATCAGAGACCAGCAGAACCTTTGTCCACAAGGTTCTGCTGGTCTGTGCAGGCAGGAAGACGTTCCCTCGTGCTCGGCGGACTCAGGTCCACAACCTTCGCTCGCCCGTCAGCTTCAGCCCCACAGAGCAGTCGCCCAGCACCAGCAGCGGCAGCAGCGTGTTTACCCCTGACTTGGAGGAGGCCCCGCCCACTGGTTCTGCCCCTGGACCGGCCCCCAACAGAAGGCGGCGCGGCAGCGACATCGAGGCCAGCACCACGCTGTCAGTCATGGACATCAGTCCGCCGAGCCGCTGTGAGTCCAGCCCCTCACCGGATGACGCTCTTCTTCTACCCTTCTTCTGACTCGTCTCGGTCTGGTCCTCCACAGCGCCACGTGCACCGACCAACTGGCGGCTGGGGAAGCTGCTGGGCCAGGGCGCCTTCGGCCGGGTCTACCTGTGCTACGATGCGGATACGGGTCGGGAACTGGCCGTCAAGCAGGTCCAGTTCGACCCGGACAGCCCAGAGACCAGTAAGGAAGTGAGCGCCCTGGAGTGCGAGATCCAGCTGCTGAAGAACCTCTGCCACGATCGCATCGTCCAGTACTACGGCTGCCTGCGGGACAGCCTGGAGCGCACGCTCTCCATCTTCATGGAGCACATGCCGGGGTGAGTGTTGGATTTGGTCCTAGTTGAGTCCTGGTTCTGGTCCAGTCCTCTGATCGTCTCCTTTTGGGCCGCAGGGCTCCATCAAGGACCAACTGAAGGCGTACGGTGCACTGACGGAGAACGTGACACGGCGCTACACGCGGCAGATCTTGGAAGGCGTGTCCTACCTGCACAGTAACATGATCGTCCACAGGGACATCAAAGGTGAGCCGCCGCTTCACGTCTGCAGTCCCACTTCCTGCAGAGATGATGACAAAGCGCGCATTGTTCCCCAGGCGCCAACATCCTGCGGGACTCTGTGGGCAACGTGAAGCTGGGCGACTTCGGCGCCAGCCGGCGGCTGCAGACCATCTGCCTGTCGGGGACAGGCATCAAGTCGGTGACAGGAACGCCATACTGGATGAGTCCGGAGGTCATCAGTGGCGAGGGCTACGGCCGGAAGGCCGACATCTGGTGAGACGGCGCACCGGTCACAGAGTTTCCAGAGTTCAAGTATGTTATTGGCGGGTGCAACTGTAACGTCCACCCTCCTCTCTCTGTCTCAGGAGCGTGGGCTGCACCGTGGTGGAGATGCTGACCCAGCGGCCGCCCTGGGCCGAGTTCGAGGCCATGGCGGCCATCTTTAAGATCGCCACGCAGCCCACCAATCCGGTGCTGCCGCCGCATGTGTCGGACCACTGCAGGGAGTTCCTGCGGCGGATCTTCGTGGAAACCAAGCACCGTCCGTCTGCGGACGAGCTGCTGCGGCATTTCTTCGTACATTGAAGCCCCGCCCACCCGCAGAGCAGCCAATAAGGCCTTAGTTTAGGGGCGGGGCTGCCTCTGGCCCCGCCTCTCCGGAGCAGAAGGACCCGACGTTTGGCTTCAGCACCTTATCCTGTCGGTGGCCGGTACGTGTTCTGGACCCGACCCGACCCGGAATGTAATCCACTCCACAACCCAGACCTACGACCCAACTAAACACTCTTGGAAACTTCCTCTTCAGTCGGCGCCATGTGCCTACTGTGGTTCTAATGGCACCAGACGACCCAGTATGATCCAATGCGACCCGTCCAGAGGTTCTGGCTTCCTGGAAGAACTGCCTTCACTTCGTAGCCCAACCCCAGCCGACCCAGTTCTGCCGGTGCCGTTCCTCTATGCCTTTTCTGCAGCCAGAACTCAACAGGATGTCAGCCGGGCTCACTGCATCCAATCAGAACTAGGTGGTTCTGATCCGTTCTGCAGCCACTCACCGTAGCTTCTGGAGGAGTCAGCTTCAAGTCCCCAAATTAAAAGAATCGGAGTTGGGATGCTTTTAAATTGAGCGCTGACAGCGGTCGCATGTCCTGACGTTTTCTGAGCAGCCAATTAAGACAGTGAGCTGGGGCGGGGCTTAGGAAAGGTGCAAATTCCACTGGCAGGTTGTGTTTACGCTGCGGCTCTCGGTCTGGAGGTGTTGCAGAGTCTCCTGGGGCCACTAGGTGGCAGCGGCAGCAGGAAGTGGGTCAGTAAAGCTCTTCTCGTGTCGCTAAGATGTGGCTGCTCTGATCTGTTCGCCGGCAGTTCTGGCCCCAACAGGAAGTCCTGCAGGTGGACGCTCCACCACCAGGAGGCGCTGTGGGATGCACTGTTGCTTTCATAAATGTCCTCAGCAGCTGTGGCTGAAACGGCTTCACAAATCTTTCTTTGCACATTTTAAACACTGTTTTTCTGTGTGTGTGTGTTGAAGGTCCAGTTCACCTCTGCTTGAATGTAATGTGTCATTTTCACCTCTAGGGGGCGCCGCTCAGCAGTGGTTGAACTCTTCAGTATTTGTCAGCTGCAGATTCACCGACGGCTCTCTCTTAAGTCACTGCTGTCATACCTGGTGTGTGTGTGTGTGTGTGTGTGTGTGTGTGTGTGTGTGTGTGTGTGTGTGTGTGTGTGTGTGTGTGTGTGTGTGTTCTGAGGTACGAACATTAAAATCATGATGTACAGACGTGTAAAATGAAAACGTCCTTCTTGTTTCCTGTTTGTTGTCTTGTAAAGGAAGCCATGTTTATAATTCTGATTGGTTTGTGACCAATTCGCCTGTTTATATCAGATCTGTATATCAGTGGTACACATAATTTTTAATATATATTTTTATTTTGTTTGTTTTTTATGGGAGATTCCCAGCATGGTTGGGTCAGAGACGCAGCAGAGCCATTGAATGGTTTCTGCGTTCAGAATTATGACCATGAAAACAATTAAAGATATTTATTTCACAGATTTCATGTCTCTGTAAATTGTTGGCTCCAATCTGCAACATGACTCCATTGTCAAATGAAGGGGATAAATGTTTCAATATTAAAATATCAGCATCTCAATTATTGCCACAATGAGTGGCAATAAATGGAGACTCGTATTGATGACTTACGCCCCCTTGTGGCTGCAGAGCGCAGCTTCACTGTTACTGGAAAAAAAACTTTCTGGTTGCTGCAAAATTCATAAATCTTACAGTGTTTGAATCAAAGTCATATTTGGGTTTAGAGAAATGCTAAAGTGGATGAAGGGCCGTGTTGGCGCAGAAATTAATATAAACCTTAGAGCTGAAAAGTTGATATTTTTATAAAACTGCTCATGTTTGGTTCAATAGTACATCTAGTTCCAGTGAGACGCAGGTTACTATTGACGTCCCTGAAATGTTGCTGCTTTCAGTCGAGTTTATGTCCATTTTCTAGAATAATGTAACTGCAGCATTTTGTAAAATCAGAGCTTAATTTTTTACAATTGTGTTGGCTTAAACTTGTAAAAACGTAACTTTATTTTAAGATGTTTTGTTTTTGATTGAGCCAAAGGAAATGTGCATCAGAGTAATTTATTCAGCTTTATGTTGATTGTAGTTACCAAGACACTCTGTAGCTCTAGCTAACGCTAACCTTTCAAAACAAGCCATAAATAAGCCTTTCATCATTATTGTTACTGCAGTTTAGGGAGAAAGCAAACTGTTTCAAATAAACTGTCGTCCAGCTCTGGTTTCTAAAAATGTTGGAGAAACAGCTTGTTTTAGTTTGAAGATAAAAGTGTAAATAAGTCATTTATTCTGCTTTATTGTAGTTACTATCAGAGACCACAAGAGGAAAAACATCCAAACATCAATGACAGTTTATGTCCAGGTACTTTAACTAGGCCAAGCACTTAGGTGACAAGGTCTGATCATTGAGGAAAATCAAGTTGTTTCCTATAATTTGAAGTTGTAGGTCTGTTCAAAATTTATTTGGACTAATTTCTATGAAGTAGTTTTTGGAGAAATCTGAAGCTGAGGGCCGTTTGGTACAGTTGCAGATCAGAGGATGTTCATTGGGAAGAAAGCTTTGTGTGTGTAGTGTTGCATGTGTGTGTGTGTGTGTGTGTGTGTGTGTGTGTGTGTGTGTGTGTGTGTGTGTGTGTGTGTGTGTGTGTGTGTGTGTGGCTATTCCTCTAGAAGACTGGAGTCACCTTTCCCACGTGCTGTTCCTATAGGCGGAACCTGGAAGGCTGATACGTACCGCGCCCCTGGTTTCAAAAACACACTGTCCGTTAACACCGCAAGGTGGAACCAGCATGCCCAGGAAGCAGAAGAGTTTCTCCGTTGCTTCTCCTATTGATCAGGACGTGGAGGCTTGGAAGCAGTTCCTCCAGGATCTGCAGGAGAAAGGAAGGGAGACAGAAGTAGAAGAGAGGCATCAGAAGCTGCCAAAGGTGACGATCCATGTTGTCCATGTGGACAAGGACTGTTTGACTTGTTCCTTCATTTTGTTCTTGCTCTTTCACTGGGAACCAATCAGTGTTTAGCATGCTCTGGCTGTTGGAGAACTGGATAAAGGGAACCAAAAAAACAATCAGACCATTGAGTTCATAAAAAGGCTAACAGATGACCCAACTGCATCATCCAACCTGTTTTCAATGACTGATCTGCATATTTCTTGTCTGCAACTCAGAGGTTAGCTGTAGTTTTTGTTCTATCTAAATGATCTGGATGTGTTTAACCTGAAGAATTACTCAGTTTCAGAGGAAGACCTTCTTAGGCTTCTGGCTGCAGGACTTCAGCTGTGGAGGTACTTTAATAAATAAAATCATCATGAAGAACTGCTTTAAAATGGTCTTTTGGGTTTGTAATATTTGATGTCTTCCTCGTTTTGTGAAGCTCTGGCCTCAGGCTGAGAACTGGACCTGCTTCCTGTTGGCCTGCAGAGTCCACACCGTAAACTCCAGGCTGTCATGTGAGGCACTTAGTTAAAATGTACAAGACAGTAAAAGAACTCTTGAGTAATCCTCTGTATGCCCAGGAGATGGCCTGAGAGATACACTGTAAAATGTAATAAATTCCCTTTACTTAAAAAAGTTAGGAAACTGATTGCCTCAAAATCTCCAAGTAAAACAGCCAATTCATTTTAAGGTGTTATAAATAACGATGTTTAGACAACTCAGATAATGGCAGTAAACTTGAGTATAGGTAACTCAAAATCATTAGTAAGGTTGACTATAAAATGTCAATTATGACTACTTCAATTTGTGAGTTATGTCAGTTAAGCAGTACTCATAAAAATAAGTTATGCTTACACGTTAAAGCGTTCACATTACTTGCAAAATATCAGGAAACCGATTGCCTTGATATGTTCAAGTAAGAAGAACCAAAAGTGTTAAGTTATTGAAACGAAGAGCCAACAGAGAACAGTTTGAATGGAAAAAATGTGTAATAATTAAACAAGTTTATCTTAAATATAGGTTCTCAAGTCTGGTTACAGACACACTAACCTGGAAACAAAGTTTCCATAGACTTTTTTAGGAACAAAAAAATGACATGACTTTTTTTCTAGGGCAAAAGTCGTGTCAGTCTAATACTGAATCCTTCAAATGGCCCCCAGTTTTTAAAACTTTGAGAATCCCTGTTTAAATGTCTTTGAAACAAACACTCAATTCTCAATAATAGAGCCTAACAGTTATCATAACATCGATAAAGTGAAGTAATGTTTCTCCTCATTAACAATAAACCATTTAGTAGTCTGCAAGTGCAATGAGGCTTCCTCAAAAAAGAATCAAACAAGAAATAAAAATCACTTTTCAATAAGGATAAAGGTATCAACGTTGATCCATGATGTCACATCACAGTCACTCATTGCATCAGAAGATTTTTGAGTGATTGTATTTTTGGTTTTAGGGATTTATGTCCAAATGAGAGAAGCACACTTTGGATGAAATCAAAGGTGTACTTCAGTTGTTGGGTACTCCAAATTCAGAGCATAAATAAGTCCAAAGAGCAAGAACATGGCATGTGGAAGATTTCCAAGGTCATTCATGACGAGACTTGCTTCCAAAATGATGGAGGTACCTGAAGGTGCAGGGAGTCAGGGGAGGCCTGCCTGTCCTCAGGAATGATGGTCAGGATCCCAATGGGGGTGTGAGACACGTCTGGGTCCTCGCAGTCCTAACAACAATAGAAGCAACACCACAATTACATATCAACGTTACAGCTGTCCCACCTATGGCAGTCCACTCATCATCAGCCTTCTATGATGATTTTATGTTGCCATCTCTGTTGGGCCCATAAAACACCACTCCTTTTTTTAAATATTAATATTACCACTTGTAGTGAACTTGACAAGACAGAAAGAAAAAAGCCTTTCAGTGTGGTAGAAACTTTCAACCACACTGAAAGGCTTTTTTTATCTGGCCAACATCTTTATCTTTATCCCTTTTCCTTTGTTTTGCACCCCGGACAGCTTTTTTCTCTGCCGCTCCATCCTGTTGCTACTAAATAAACATATTTTCGACTAACGTTAGTTCCAAACATCGCTAAATCATTTCACATGAAGTTAACCTCAAAACCTGGACTTACGGATGAATTATACGGCCGAGATAATGAATATAAGTTTGCTAAAAACCAGTGGAACTTACCATGACAAAACTTGGCAGCAGAAACCGCCATATTGTTGACAGTTTGGCGCTTCTTTCAAACACGTCACTCGTCAGTGGCCAACTGCGCATGTGCGTCCAACGAGAGCTGCCGAATGATGCCGAGTTTTCTGCTGGTTTTGCAGTTGCTCACTCATAACTCCAAGTTTGGGTTACTTGGTGCCGATGAGTTTGATATCTTGCCTCAGTAGAAAGTTGTCTTTGCTAAGTTTAGGTTAGCATAGTGAACAGTTAGCTGGAATGAGTTCAGGTCACTGTTGGGACTTTGGTTAGATTAACTTTAGAAACAGTTTGTCATATGAAATATTAGATGTAGCATGAACATTTTGAGTCAATCTTCAGTTAGGTAGGTTTGGATAAAGATTCAAACTGAAACAACTGCTGACTCTCTGAACTTACATAAATGATTAAGGAGGGCCTTCAGAAAGGGGGGGTGTTATCCCAGTGGATAGGTCAGAGGTCGAGTGGGTCTGCCTGTCACAAGATGAGTCAAATTCTTTGGTGTTTGTTTAGGTAAAACACTAAAACCTTTAGAAACAATTCTTCTAGAATCAAATGTATTAATTCTGAACTAGTTAGTGTCTCACCATACTAATCTGCATGCATCTTAAATTACTAAAATAGAACAGGATTAGGAAACTAAAAGTTTTAGAAGTAAAATATTTCAAGTATTGTAAAAGAGTTTTTTTCTAAAGAAGACAATCCTGCAGTTGTTAGATCCAACTCATTTGGCATTAGATTTGTGTCAGTGTGTTTATAACAGGAATCAGTTTCTTGATGAATCGCTGAGGCAGCAGAACCACCAGGTCCAGTTGCAGATTATAAATTTTGGTCTGGACTGTAAAAAAGATGAGACTGGTACAGAAAGACCCTGTTTGAGAATGACCTTTGATCTCTCCATATCTCAAAGAAGGTAATGAAATGAAACAGGTCAAAGGGGAAGACACACCTTCTAATGCATAGATTTAAATGAAGGGAATCCAGCTCCTTATAAAATGTCTGTTTTACAGCAGAAGATCGAATTGCTTTGTGCCCATTTTTGTTTTTCCTTTCAACTCGTTGCAGGTAATTGTGTGTTTTGTTATGTGTTTGGACTTCTTGATAATCTGGCTGCAATGCTGATGTGACATTCTGGATGCATTGAATTCTCTGGATAAAACTCCAGATATATCTGAAGTTTGTTCTCTGTGCTTCCCGCTGTGCATGCAGAGTCCGGGAGACTAGAGGAAAATTAACGAGCAAGTAAATTTATTCCTCTAAGTTCAACATCACTTTTCTTTTAGAGTAAGATATACTATTAGATTTTACAGTGTAATTCCTCGGCTGCTTTTGTT